ACGAGGCTTTAGGTCTTGCAATCTGTCTATGTGTGAGCGGCAGGTTCAGGTTGGTCTGAACAAAGTCTCCAAATAAGCAGGAGAAAACGGGTTCCAGCTGAGTGCACAGAAGAGCACGTGTGTCTTGTTCTCAATGAAGAAAAGCCTTTATTGCGAACGTGATATTCAACTGAATGGGCAACGTCTTGCTGCTAATATTGAACACAAATTATTAGGCATAATCTTGGACACCAAGCTAACCATCAAACCACACAACATGTATTAAAAAGAAGCGCATAAAAGCCATAAATGTTTCAAAAGTGTTGTCACGCACTACGTGGGAAAGTGACAATAAGTGTTTAATGAATTTGTATAAAAGCCTCATACGTACCCGCCAAGACTACGGGGCAGTAGCATATCAGTCTGCGACATCTGCTATCCTAAAATGCGTGATCCTGTTCATCATGCGTGATCCTCTACACCGGTGCTTCTCCACTAGCCCCGTGGAAAGCCTGTACGTCGAATGGAACGAATGGTCGCTCCATCTACAGAGATGTAACGTGTCTTATAATTATTATCTTAATGTAAACGCATAAAAAATCACCCATCACATTTCACATATCATGACATTTCAAGCCTTCCTAGGTTAGAGAAACGACCTTCTACGACCCAGCCCTACTCATTCCGTTTGAGGAGCCTAGAGAAGGAAACGGGTGTGCCACTTGAACATCGTTTGATGGCTCTCCCAGTATGTCTGCCACCATGGCAGCGGCAGGTGATAGGTTGTGACATCTCTTTCGTGGAGGTTACGAAGCACGCACTAATTGCACATATTCACACATACGTTGTTGAACTACAACAAAAATACACGTTCCTCGTTCTTTACCAATGCTTCAAAGTGTAACACTTCTATCTCGTAGGCAGCCGCCAGCCCATCCTTTTCAAAAGCCGACGTTTTGCACTCTGATACAAGCATTTTCACCGGCTAAGCCCCTTGCGGCCGTAAAACACAATAAACTATTAAAACTACAGCAGGCAATAAGATATATAGATTCCCTATTGGCAGCAAAAACTCAGAGTATCCTAAAAAGCACAAAACCTCAGTCTTTGTCTCGCTTTACTCGCTCCTATGCACAGTCTACTCATGCAACCAACATGTTGTAGTCTGCTGGGTGCCAGGACACCGCGGATTACAAGGCAAAGTTCTGGTGGACGAGCTAGCTCGATATGCCAACAAAGCCGCTACCAATACATCAATACAGATTCTTGCACTTGACTTGAAACCTTTTCTAAAACGAAAGCTCAGGGTTTATCGACAGAGCACATGGGATACGCACAAAGGTAATAAATTGCATGTCATCAATCCACAACTTGGTCATTGGCCGCTAGTATGAAAATCACGCTATACACAAGTAATCCTTACAAGGTTAAGAGCAGGACATACATACACTACACATTCATTTATTTTGTCTAGTGGCGATGTGCCTTTGCGTGAGAGATGTGGAGAAGCACACACCGTACTTAGTATTTTAGTTCAGAGTAAAAAATTAGACTCACTGAGAAAACACTTACCATTAACCTACCGACAACAAATTCCACTTCTTCCTGCATGTTTGTGGGCAGGGAACCACTTTTTACACAAAAATCATTGTTGGCTTTTCTGAGAGAACTCCATACCTTTCATGTGATATACCTGGGCATTTCGTACCACGACCTATGCAGAGAGGTCTCCGCTGCGGTGGTAATACTGAAGAAAGCACTTTTCTCACGGCCTTTGAACTCAAGGGAGGGAACGATCGAGGAACTTATGCTAATGCCACAAATGCCCACCATGGTTTTTATTATCACAAACATTAGTCCTCCATTAACGCGCCACACTTTTCTCGCATGGTCGTGATTTCATGTCTTTTATGTTTTTACCCGGCTTAGCACAAGGAATGTTAAGGCCCTTATATAGCTGCTCATCACAATCATTGTCCACTTCTCTTGTCCGATGAACTGGCGCTCTTTCGCCATCAAATGGTTCTTGTGCCACAAAGCACCAAACATCATCATCATCATGGGTCCTACATACGCGGTTAACGTAGTACTAGTAGGCAGTAGTAGTAGTAGTAGTAGTTGTAATAGTAGTAGTAGAAGTAGCAACAATAGTAGTAGTTGTCGTTGTCGCAGTAGTAGGTAGTCACCTTTACGATCGGATTATGGAAGAGGCACGCGTGTACTCTTATGAATTGGGGAGGATATCCGCGCACGATAGCATAACTCAAATATACAGTCATTTCCGAATAAATAAATTATAGAGTAGAGTGTCGTTGACTTCAACTCAAATAAATGTGCCTTGAAATTCATGCTTATTAAAACAAAGCCGTAACAGAAGGACGCACTTCTAGCAATATCTGACCAGAAAAAAGTCACAGCAAACCTACGGAGTGCAAAGTGATAAGTGGGGCGAAGCATACGTTGGTCCATCTGTGCTGCCGTTCGTCCTGTTCTTCTTGCTTCCGTCCGTCCGTGCGCCCATCTGTCCTTCCATCCGTACATACGTTTATCTATGCGTCCATTCGTTCGTGCATGTATCTGTCTCTACGTCCGTGCATCTTTCCATCGTTCCGTCTATCTAATTGACACTGCAAGTACCACCATCTCGCACTTTTTCATCATATATTCATCGCATCCAAGTACCACCTTCTAGCTGACATTCCAAGAACTGAACTAGAGGTGGCACGGCCGAAATGGAGGAGTGGCACGCACGCACTTTCTTTCGGCCTGCGCTTCGTGTCTAGTTCTCATCATTTGCCGCCTCTAGTTCATGTAACTGCGGCCCAACAGTAGCTAAAGCTTAATAACACCAAGGAGGTTACGCCCAGCGAGTTCACGGTGGCAACCAGATAGTGCTCAAAGTGCGTCATTCTGATACTAGCTTTTTTAATAAACATCAAATTCAAGACAAATTTTATTGCAGATTTAGAAACCAATACAAGTCTATAATGGGTATTTATTCAAAACAACTATATTTTATTTATGAACAACGTGCGTGGGTTTTCTCTAATTCAAATGTGTGTGCACTTGCTGCCCCTCTAGTCCTGCTGTGGAGGTGGCTGCGTACTACTACGAGGCACAAGTACTACTGCGACTACTACTACTACTACTACTACTACTACTACTACTACTACTACTACTACTACTACTACTACATACATCGCGAACACATGACTTAAGGAGCGTCGCCCCTAAAAGGGCTTCTTGAAGTGCCAGTTGGTTGTAGCACTTGCGTCTTGTGTTCGTTTTTCTCTGTCCCGTTTTTAGCACAGTTCCCCTCAGAACCAGGACAGGTTGCCAAATTAAACTAGCTAGGCACAACCTCCTTGTTTTTAGCATGATTTAGCCTGCAATAGGCCGCAATGCCATGAGCTAGTGGTGGTGAAAGGTGTGAGCTAGACACGAAGCGCAGGCCGTGAGAGAGTGTGCGCGTGCCGCTCATCTAGTCCGACCGTGCCACCTCTCGTTTAGTCCTTGGAATTTCCAATGGATAGCGGTTATGCTAAGAACTAAAGGTCATGCCATGGTGAATGCATTGTGAAAAGATGCGAGATGGTAGTACTTTAAGTGTTCATCAGACAGACTGACGGATGAACAGACACGTGGACGGACGAACGGGCACACAGTAGCACGCATGGACGAACGCACAGATGGATGGATGGACGCACGGGAGGACGGACGGATGGATGCACGAACGGAAGAACGCATGAAGAGACGCACAGACAGACGCACAGATTGCGAAAAATATCGGCGAGATGCCACCAAGGCTACAGCATTTTTTTGTGCGCTTACTCAAGTACAACAACGATTTGCTGTTTGTTCATGGCAAAGGCCTGCTCCTGGCTTACATGCTCTCCCGCGTGTCAGACCCGACAACAACCGAAGACGTGGAAGTCCACACAATCCAAGTCGTCTTCGGAATAGTAAGCACACGAACGAAGCGGCGTCTTCAAATTGAAACTATGGCAGGTCGTTATCTCAGTTTGGTGATACAGCAGCTTGCCGAATGTCGACCCATTGAAGGAGAATCACGCCTGTTTGTTGCTGAGCTATCTGTCATTGAAAGATTATTACTCAAAGGATGCAAAGTTGTCATACCCCTGTCTACGAAAGCTGAAATTACAAAGAAAATACACGCTGGGCATCTCAGAATGAACAAGTGGAAAACAAGAGCCGTGGATTAGTTTTCTGGCCTGGCCTCGACGGCAGCATAGAATCGATGATTTGTTCATGCAGCACATGCCAGAAATATGCGTACAAGCAGCACTCTGAGCCACTTCTACTTCGGCCAACACCCAGCATGCCGTGGGACAGAGTAGGCATTGATATCTTTTCGTTTGCTGGTGACGCATACTTGGTAGTCTACGACGCGCACTGAAACTTTCCTGAGGGGGAAAAGCTAGCTACCAAGACAGCACGTGAGATAGTCGAGAAAACGTCCGCTATCTTTGCACGCTATGGGATCACTGGACAAGTATAAAGAGGCAATGGTCCTCAGTTTGTGTCGAAAGAATTTGCCGACTTTGGAAAACAATATGACTTTGAGCGCTACAGTTCAAACCCGCGATTCACTCGGTCAAATGGATTAGCGGAAAAAGAGGTGCGATCATCAAGCGCATCATTAGAAAAATACTGAGTCGCGTGATGATTTTTGGCAAGGTCTGTTTTATTGGGTATCTGTATTAGATGATGGCGACTCACCCGCACAACTATTACAGGAACGGCAAATGCGCACCAACGTCCCGGAATACAGAGCTCAGCTTGGAAGCGCAGTAGCACAGCACAAGCAGCTGGACAAAGACAAGCCACTGCCACTACTGCAACAAGGAGACACGGCGAGCATACGAGAACACGATTGGTCACGCCAGGCAAGAGTACTTAAGGCAGTTGCTCCTCCATTCAACATCGTCGGAAGTGAAAGTGGATGACTGCTGAGGCGCAGCAAACAGCACCTGCTTCAAACCCTGGAAGACTTCCGCGCCATGCCTGAAGACGGGAAGAGCCACGACGCTGAGGTCGACAACGCACAAGTCGTGAGCCAGGACAATCAAGCTCAAGGTTCGAATCAGCACTGCCTCGCCACTCGGAGCCTGTAAGCCAAGGAGCCTGGGTGCCTGAGTTGCAAATTTAAATGCAGGCGACGGTTGGAACACCTGGAACCACAACGGAAGTGCCGCAGTCAACTGAGCCCCGCAGGTCAACCCGTCACCACAGTGATCCAAAGACGCTGCACTACGACGAAATTTTCCGTCTGATCTGTTGACTTCCTTGTGATTTTTTGTTGTTTGCTTCTTTTTTTTGGCAAAGAAAAAAAGATGTATCGTACTGGGCTATCACGGGGCGCAAGCCGATAACGAGCCCCACTGTCATACCCTCTCCCTTTCCTGGCTGCGCATGCGGCTATATAAGCAAGCCCAGTAAAGCTGCACGCGGTCTGCTTTGGCTCAGTGTCATCATGCGTCGTCTTACTGCCACCCACACTTGATACAGGTTTCTCGTGTCCATGATTCGAGGACCGATTGCTTTAGAAAGCCCAGCAAAGGTCACCACTCAGAAACACGCACACCTTAAGGTTTATTTGTTTTTGATTGCACAAATGTAGTGCACCACAAAGAGATAAAACATCCTGTCTTCGAGGAAGCTACTCTATTCTCTGCCACTTCTTACCTTTCTACCATTGGCTTCTCGTGCGGTAGAGCCCCTATGTTGTTCTGTGCCATAGCACTTGACACAATAGCAAAGTATGTTTGCGCAGCCCTAAGACATGATTTGGCGAACATAAATTGTAAAGAAAGACGTTTGTTTGTAGAATAAAGACACTTGGTCGCGGAATGCACCTTCCATTTGTTGAACACAAATAATGATAAGGCATCCTACCAACACCACCGGAAAAAGAGGAACAGGTAATGCCAAAACGCAAAATAGGCACGCGAGTTGAAGGAGTTTCTGGTTAAAAATTTCATGTCAGAAACCACAGTACTACACGACTATTCATTCTGATAAGCCTGTCTCCACTTCAAATAACATTGCCGTATCCGTGCTTTCCGCTTAATCACATTTCACGGTGCTTCTGGTTGATATGGCAAGCGTAGCACTCATCCATTATTAAAACAACTCGCATGGGAGTTTTTGCACTGTCACATATCAAATTCTGTAATGAAATCATGCAAACTCTTTCAATTATCTTCTCTGAAGCCAGTATTAATTTAATTTTGTTGTTTTTATACAGACATATTTTCAAAACGATGGGTTTTAACACTTCGCCCCTCGTGGTCGTGTCATGTTGTCTACTTCTTGGTGAAGCCCGCCAGCGCAGTCTTCCCGAATGTAAGTATTTGCAACATTGCACACTGTTTCCCACCTCCGAAAAGTATGCGTGCTCTCCACCTAACTGCGCAACGCTCATGTTATACGTAAAATATTGCAAATATTCCTTGTAGATGGGTGTTTTCATAGGTCGACGACTGGTAGGCAGTCACTCAATCTTGCACACAAATAGAAAGGGGGTGCTAAGTCGGCTCGTACATCGACTTAGGTTTTAGGCACTTCTATAAACCTCCTCACTCCTCGTGGCGCACTTTGTGCACTTTTATGGTCTTGTGCAGAAAATACCCCTAATATACGTGATACATAACGGTCGTAGAGCACATGAAATACCAGATATTCCACAATCCCAATTACGAAATGGGTGGGTCAGTTAACACTTACATAATTCACAATTTTCCGCCATAATTCTTTATCGTCACCAACCTGAGCATCAACAAAGTGTGCATATTGTGTGCGAGATGTGTAGCGGCTGCCTCGCTTCTCGACATAATGAGAAGTATTGGCAGAGTGGGTGCTTTTTTGGCTACAGAAATTATTATTTGTGGTGCAGCAGGTACCTTGAAATGGTACTTCTGTTAGGAGCTCAAGTGTTTATTCAAGAAACGACACTTGATTTCTCCCCACAGTAGATGAAAGTCTACAATTACCTCTAAAATTCCACTTTTCCAGCTTTTGTTCTCGCCGTGATGTTTGATTCACAGAGGCCTTGCGTTTTTAAAAAACGTTTTGATCGCCAGCTCCTCTCTGCGTAGAATATTCGAATACCTTGTTGAGAACCTGGGTTGAAGTTCCATGCAGCCTAGATGTTATTGAACCTTGAACCCGTATACAGTACCCTATACAAACGTCATCAACGCCATAGTATCACAATAACATATGTCATGTAGAACGCTAAAAGAATAAAAAGTTACACCACTTCCCACTAATGGGAACCGCGAGTAGCATGCGAAACATCGCATGGTCAACCTAAAGTTCCGTTCAACACAGAAGCTTTGTTCGATATTAACGAGTCCATGGGTGTGGCGCACACAAGAATTCATGGTAGTTGCTCTTGTTGTTGTCACTACTATTACTCTTGTTGGAGCGTGCCACACGGGTTCATCACCAGCCACAAAGAAGAATGTGAGTTCATCGCGCACCTGCAGAATTTCGTTTCTTGATGCCATGACGTGATTGCTGAGAGAGTTTAAAAGGGAGACACCAGAGCCTCCTACAAAGCCACTTATGCAGGCTGAAAGCACTAGCGTGTGCCAGCGCACTCTTACTAAGATACAACGCGTTGTTTCATCGCGTGGCTTCAGAATCTCGCTCCCGGACGCCCTCGTGTCATTACCAAAAAACTGTGACGCCACAGTGTTTTACCCAGCCGCTTACAAGGACCGGAACGCGCTAACGTGTTTGCTCATTCTGGCAGTGCAATGCCAGCTTTTGCGCTTCGATAGTTTGGGTGGTCATGCTTCACCTATCTGTATTTAACTCTGCCGTAAGCCTGTGTCCACCTAAAATACCAATGAGGCATCGAAAAATGCAAACTGCGTAACGAGTGGGTCATTTCTGGCTTCCCCACATATTAAAGTAAGTTTGCCACAAATATTTATAGGTATTATTCTCAGCATCAACAAACTGCACCTAGCGCCTAATTTATTCGTCACAGGATACTCGCATTTCTGAACAATGACAATGACGTAACGAGTGCGTTCCTCCACTAAAAAAGTGAATATTTATGTCCCAGTGATTACCCTACAAGCAACTGAAGTTATCGTGGTCACAAATTTTTCTACATCGCAAAAGAAAGCCTGTCTTAGAATTTGTTTCGTAGTGCTTATCATACATTTGATATAGAAAGGAAGTGTTTACTCTGCGTTGCTTTTCACACACAAGGACATTGTGTAATGATGATGTATGAATTTGAATACAAATTTTCACATTGATAAACATACAGTCCTCTAATGCAAATGTTGCGTTAATCTGTAGAGTACCATTTCGGCAAATCCAAGTGGAATGCACGTAACGTAAACCTTGACTTCTGGAGTGTGCTTCAATTTTTTGGTTTTGGGTAGTGCGCACATGATTTCGTAAAACATTTTGCCTAATAATTGTAAGTCTGATATCACCTCTTACACTACGCTGACAATTTAGGTAGAGAGTGTTTGGTGCTCTAAATAATTGGGGTCAATATTTTGACAAAATATCAACATCAGTGCAGTTGATGATATTATCCAGTGAAAGTCGCATGAACTGTGGGTCCGAACATTTAGTCAGTTCTTCTACCAGCAAACGTGCTGACCCTGCTCAGGCTGCTGTTTCTAATCCCAGAGCGTGCCATCTGTAGCTCCTGTGCATTTTTAATTCCATAAAGAACAAGAAGTGAAAAATGCGGCATGAAACAATTTACAAAGAAAACCTGTAGTATTTTTGAAGGCCTTCAATAGATGCTGATAACAAGAATACGATGTCGACAGTCCAGAATGGTACGCCTTGCATCTGGAGAAACTGGTAGGTTTACTTGTATTGTGCGCACCCTTACGACCATAAAACAAAAGACGGCACCAACAAAATCAAAACAATTATGTTAGTTTGAACGCGAAATATCGCCATGTTGGTAGTACAGTGTAGTTTACTCTTCTTAACGTCCTTGACGAGCTAAATAAACAATTTATTACCGGTGTTACACGGGCAGTTTTAATTGTGGTTTGCGTGATCTTGATCGGTTTTCTTTATCGCGATGAACATTATGGCCACTGCTACACGGCCCAAGCTAATCTGGCACAAGCTTGAGTCAGAATAAACGCCCCAGGTGGCACTTGTGGGCTGTATAACATGACATTGAGAAAGTTTATCGTACGATGTTTCAATGTAGCCATTTATCAGCAATATCGAGAAGGAACCGCTCGATTACCGAAAACTGCATGTCACTGCAGAAGTTTTTCCTCAATCCTTCATTCTGTAGTGTTCTTTTGCAGTTACCTATATTGCTGTGCGTGTGTATTATAGTTCACTTTTATTCCTCATGACCCCTGCTCCTAGACATCAAGTCGCAGCGAAACGGCAATCTCGTAGTGTACGCCAGTTTCACTACTGGCACATCAGATCTGCTCCTGCTAGTTGTAAATTACTGTAAAGGTCTCTTTATTCGACCACTAATTGCGCGTACGCTGCGACGTATTCGAAAACCTGGTGACGCCAACAATCAATTAGCTTTTAGGTGCTTCAACATCCGAGACGGTGCGAAAGTTGAACGCGTCGTCTGCTAATCGTCTGCTTCTCCCATAACTACATGCGGTCAATACGAATATTAGGATATGCAATATTACACATATGTTTTCTTTCGGAACAGTTTAAAATTTGTTCTATAAATAAATATCAAGCTTTTTAAATCTGTTTTTACAGCACTATGATTGTTCTTCTTCTTTCTTTTACTTTCAATAAGTTCGGCCATGGGGTGCAGGCGACACAAATTCGCGACCTCTCATCCAGATGGCGATGCGCTCGTCGCCATAGCTTTGATCCTGATCGGGCGTGATTGTGATTAGGAGTGACTGTGTAGCAGTAGCTAGTCCGGATCGTGGTTAATCTGGATCAGCACAGATAGTAAATAAAAATGCCCGTGGGACACCGGTATAACTCCGTAGGGCCGCATCCTACTTTTATTCTTGAATACCGACTATAATGCACTAATGAGATCTTAGCAACAATATTCATTTGATGTATATCAATCAATTAGGAACGCTTTCGAAAAAGTGCTGCAACAGTGTGCAAATAACGTTTGAGGTTCAGTCACTAGACGGTAAACAGGGAAACTATCTCAGGAGAAAAAAACCTTATTAGGAGACGACAAACGACAAAAGCCTAAAGTGCAAACAACAAGATAGAGTTAGTGAAGCTTTCGAAGTTATTAAATAGACGTACATAGAGAGGTATAACATGTAAAAAAATTGAGCGGGCTGCTGAAAGCGGCAGAAGCCTAAAATCTGCGAATGCAGACTTGTGCATATGCAAAAAATTGAATGTGTACATTAAGAAACAAGACAGGCAATGTAATAACTAATACGAATAGGAGAGTTGAGATGGCGGAGGAGTTCTACAGAGAGCTTTACGAAAGCCAAAAGAACCACTTTGATGTAGGGAGAAAATATAAATGTTCAAGAGAATTCGACATTCTATCAGTAATGGCAGGGGAAGTAAGAGAAGCCTTAAAAGGAATGCAAAGAAGCAAAGCCGCTGGTGAGGCTAAAGTATAAATAAGGGACTTGCTTAAAGATGGAAGAAAAATTGCATTAGAAAAATTAGCCACCTTATACACAAAATGTCACTTGACGAAAATGATACCAGAATCTTGAAAGAACGCAAACATTATCTAAATTCATAAAAAAAGAGACGTCAAGGACTTGAAAAATTACACGATAACCAGCTTACTCTTTGTTCTCTGAAAATATTTACAAAAATAATCGCTAATAGAAATAAGACAATATTAGAGTTCAATAAGCCAGAAGACTAAGCAGGTTTTGTACCGGCTACTTCACAGTAGACCATATTCATACTATCAATCAGGTAATAGAGAAACGTGCTAAATGCAACCAATCCCTATACACAGCTTTTACAGATTACGAGAAGGCGTTTGACTCTGTCGAGGCATCAGCAGTAATGCAGGCACTACGGAAAGAGGGCATAAAAGAACCCTACATATACAAACAAGAAGAAATCTACAGAGGTTTTACAGCCACTATATTATCCATTAGAAAAGTGACATAATCGCGATAATGAAGGGTGGAAGGCAGGGAGACACGATCTCTCTAGTTCTATTCACTGCTTCTTTACAGGAGGTATTCAGGACCCTACACTGGGAAGAGTTAGGGATAAAAGTTAATGGAGAGTACCTTCGTAACCTATGATTTGCTGATGACTTTGCATTATTTAGAAACTCAGGGGACGATTTACACTTCATGATTACTCAACTGGACACGGAAAGTAGAAAAGTATTTCTGAATTTTAATATGCAC